TGGTTTATGGTTAATGGCACTTAGTATAAACCCTAACTAGACAAAACTAAAGGGAAGCTACACTGCATCTGAGCATCGCAAACCAAAAATGCTTTTTAATTCATTTTTAATATTCAAATCAAACTCATCCATTCATCCATGTTTTCATACTTAATTTTGCTGGAAAATGACTTTGAAAAACACCCCCTCCCCCTAGCATTTCTGGTTTTGGCCATCTTCAGTAAGGGCAGATGATTCATGTAGTATTTACTTCCTGGAATCCATCTGCCCCTCGCTCAGGCATGCAAGTAAGAGGGTGTGCATAGCTGAGAAACCCCCTTTTCCCCCTTTGAAATCTCCTGGGATGGATGGCATCATTTGCCTAGGCATGGAAACCAGTACATAACTGCAGAAATGCAAAAAATGCAAGTTTTAAACAAGTAAATATGATTCACATTCCATAATAGTCCATAAACCGATTCAAATATGATAGTTCAATCAAAACATGAAATATAAATATACATATAAAGTGCTTGAATGGTGAAAATCAAATAAGGTGCTTGAATGGTGAAAATCAGATAAGGTGCTTGAATGGAGAAAATCAAATAAGGTGCTTGAATGGAGAAAATCAAATAAGGTGCTTGAATGGTGAAAATCAAATAAGGTGCTTGAATGGTGAAAATCAAATAAAGTGCTTGAATGGTGAAAATCAAATAAAGTGCTTGAATGGTGTAAATCAAATAAAGTGCTTGAATGGTGTAAAATCAAATAAAGTGCTTGAATGGTGAAAATCAGATAAGGTGTTTGAATGGAGAAAATCAAATAAGGTGCTTGAATGGTGAAGAATCACTGCGAGGTGCTCCGGATAAATAAAGTGTATTTGAAAAACACGGTGCTCCACCTTAACTCAATGTTCCTCCACCTAAAAATTTTTAAGCACCTTATTTGATTTTCACCATTCAAGCACCTTATTTGATTTTCACCATTCAAGCACCTTATATGTATATTTATATTTCATATTTTGATTGAACTATCACGTTTGAATCTGTTTATGGACTATTATGTCTATATTTATTTATTATTCATTACGGGTACTTATATAGCGCCGTCAATTTACATAGCACTTTACATATATATTTTATACATTCACATCAGTCCCTAACCCTCAAGGGGCGTACAATCTAAGGTCCCTAACTTACATTCATATACATACTAGGGCCAATTTAGATAGGAGCTAGTTAACCTACCAGCATGTCTTTGGAGTGTGGGAGGAAACCGGAGTACTCGGAGGAAACCCACACAGGCACAAGAAGAACATGCAAACTCCAGGCAGAGGTGGTGCCATGGTTGGGATTCGAACCAATGACCCTAGTACTGCCAGGCCGAAGTGCTAACCATTTAGCCACTGTGCTGCCCAATATATGAGTTAGTGCAAAACTATTTATATATGTTTTATGTTTTATTAATGCTAGCATCATAAGGATTAAAAATAATCAATGTAGATTGAGAGAAACAATTTTCTTTTTTATCCATTGTTGCATCTCAGTGCTGTTGATCTCCTCCAGCCTCTTTCAGTCCCATCCTATCTATCTACACTTGCTTGAGCATTGGCTGCTCTTGACTAACTTGGTTATAGTGACGATGGGCCATGCCTGCACAATGTATGACAGCACAGCTGCTTGTTGTTTCCACAGGGGTGCATATGACAAAACAGGAGAACAAGACAGCTATCACCCCACAACAGGAAGTTCCTGAATAAGCACCCCATGGCAGGATCACCTGGTATTCTTTTAATCAAAAATACAGCTTTAAAAAGTTTGAACATAACTTTTGGAATGACATTAGGTCTACTTTTTTGATAGCTATAAAGAGATGTTGACACTTTTTTTAATGATTTATATAAAACATTTATTGCTCAAATATCTATTAATTACAGAGTGATTCCATGGCTCTTAGTTTGAAACCATGCTGGCTTTCTAATGAGAAAGCTCAGCACTAGGAATGAGCTCCTGTGTGTTCAATTCCTGGTCCAAACCCACCAGAGCTATCCCACGAGGAAGCTGTCACTGCATGAACGCAATCATAAGCCGGCCGAAGCATTCCCCATCCTGCTGCCACATGTAGGTACAGTTGCAAGAAAAAGTATGTGAACCCCTTGGGATTACGTGGAGTTTTGCATGAATTGAGCATAAAATGTGCTCTGAACGTCATCTAAGTCACATTAGAAGAACAGTCTGATGAACATAATACTACACAAACATTGATGATTTGCCATGGTTTAATTGCACATAACATGTAAACATTCACAGTGCAGGGAGGAAAAAGTATGTGAGGCCCTAGCTTAATGACTTCTCCCAGAGCTAATTGGAGCCAGGAGTGAGCCAACCTTGACTCCAATCAGTGTGATGATATTGGATGTGTTGCTGACAGCTGTCCTGCCCTTAAAAAAACACACACCTGTTTTGGGTTTACTGGTTTCAAGAAGCTTGAGTTGTTTGGGAAGAACACACAACTCTATGTGTGGAGAAAAAAAGGCACAGCACACCAACATCAAAACCTCATCCCCACTGTAAAACATGGCGGAGGGAGCATCATGGTTTGGGGCTGCTTTGCTGCCTCAGGGCCTGGACGGATTGTTGTCATTGATGGGAAAATGAATTCCAGAGTTTATCAAGACATTTTGCAGGAAAAAGTACGACCATCTGTCCGCCAACTGAAGCTTCGCAGAGGATGGGTGATGCAACAGGACAATGACCCAAAGCATACAAGTAATTCAACAAAACAATGGCTGCAACAGCACAGAATACGCCTTCTGGAGTGGCCCAGTCAGAGTCCTGACCTCAACCCGATTGAAATGCTGTGGCATGACCTTAAGAGAGCGATTCACACCAGACATCCCAAGAATATTGCTACACTGAAACATTTTTGTGAAGAGGAATGGTCCAAAATTACTCCAGATCGTTGTGCAGGTCTGATCTGCAACTACAGGAAACATTTGGTTGAGGTTATTGCTGCCAAAGGAGGGTCAACCAGTTATTAAGTCCAAAGGTTCACATACTTTTTCCTCCCTGCACTGTGAATGTTTACATGTTATGTGCAAGAAAACCATGGCGACATCTAATGTTTGTGTAGTATTATGTTCAGCAGACTGTGTTCTTCTATTGTTGTGACTTAGATGACATTCAGAGCACATTTTATGCCCAGTTCATGCAAAACTCCACGTAATCCCAAGGGGTTCACATACTTTTTCTTGCAATTGTACATGTGTGGAGCAGAGAATGCCTTGACCACTTATGATTGGCTCTGTATAGTGACAGCTTCCTGTCAGGATAGCTCAGGTGGTTCCAGACTAGGATCTGAACACGCCTGAGCTCAACCCTACTCAGCGCCTCCTGCGTAGTTTTTGGCAGCCTGTGTAAAATGACTAATGATTTATCTTTTTTAGGAGAAACAGAGGGATTTTTTGTACCTCCTCTGACTCAATCAGTTCTATTTTTAGTCCAGCAACAGTAGAAAAAGGCTCCACAGAGCTCCCACTTTTGCACAGAGCTTGACACCAGGAGAATGCTTCCGATACATGTGAAATAGCAATATCTCTATTTACCTAATTCAATGATTAAAAAAACACAAAAACTATTTTAGAATTGTATTCTAGTTAGGAATACAAATATAAAAAAACATAAAATATTCCCTTTAGGTATAAGCTGCAGCTTATAAAATGTTGTTCCAGCTCTTCAGCCTCCACAGGGCAAGGTATATCATCTACGCATATAAATAAAAATACAATGTGCGCTATCAAACTAGTGAATCAGCTAATAAAATAGAGCCGCTGCGATAACACTTAAAAGGTGATCCCACACTTAAAACATAAAACATACATAAATAGTGTTGCGCTAACTCATAAAGACATAATAGTCCATAAACAGATTCAAACGTGATAGTTTAATCAAATTATGAAATATAAATATACATATAAAGTGCTTGAATGGTGAAAATCAAATAAGGTGTTTGAATGCTTAAAAATTTTTTAGGTGGAGGAACATTGAGTTAAGGTGGAGCACCGTGTTTTTCAAATACACTTTATTTATCCGGAGCACCTTGTAGTGATTCTTCACCATTCAAGCACCTTATTTGATTTTCACCATTCAAGCACTTTATATGTATATTTATATTTCCTCTTAGATTGTAAGCTCCAAGGAGCAGGGCCATCCTAACCCTCTTGTATTGAACTGTATTGTCTCCTGTTATATTGTACAGCTCTGAGCAAACTGTTGGCGCTATATAAATCCTGTATAATAATAATAATATTTCATATTTTGAATGAACTATCACGTTTGAATCTGTTTATGGACTATTATGTCTATATGAGTTAGCGCAACACTATTTATGTATGTTTTATATCATCTACGCAAATTTCCATTGCTCCTGCTTAGGTAGAGGGCTAAATGAGATCAATGGGGTGAGGTTTGCATCTAAGCAGCCATTAAAGTAACACTGTCACCAGGTTGAAAAACCTATAAGAGCAGCTCGTTGTAGGGAAGTTATATACTTACCTTCCTAACAGGTAGTGTGTTAAAGCTTTGCTCTTAAAATGCTTGGTGCAAGCTGTTATCTGGGTGTTTTAGACAGGGTGTCATCCATGGCCACCATGCTTCCTCCTGTTTATGCCTTCACTGTGTGCTATAGTGGCATAAGGGTTGACAGGAGGAACCATAGTGGCCAGCAGCATAGTCAACACACCTGCTTTTGGAGCTGCTTTTGTAAGTTTTTTTTAATTTGGAAATATTGTTGCTTCAATCACTAAACATATCTCCAGGTTCACTTTGTGGGTGGTGCCTCATGTTCTACCTAAACAAAAGCACCAGAGGATGGATAGCACCTACACCAACTCCATATGGCCAAGATATCAAGAGCAACGCTTTGCATCTTACAATCTGCTATATACCTTATATTGCTGACTATACCTACTGAATTTATCACTGCCCATTAACCTATCACAATTATTTTCTATTGGCACATACCTTTGCCTAAGCCGTTCACATAGGTTCTCTAAACACTGGTAAAAGTGTGGTGCCTCCACTCCCTCTAGAGATGCACCATCAGTAGAAGGTGGACGTTGGCGTGGTGTAGCAGAACGTGATGTTGGGACTATGACCGTGTTTAAGCTTTTGCCAGTAAGCAAATCCTGATAAACTGCAGCAGCACTCTCCAGAAACTCTGCAAACATAAAAGAACAGTGTTCACAATGTGTACAACGAATACATTAATAGAAAATCACGTTTCAATCCCAGCAGAAATGTCTTGGAGACATCCAGGCTTTCTCAACAACTGATGACATCAGTGCACAGTCATCAGATACTACACACAGCTGTCAAGTTGTTCAGATGATGGATGGGTCCTGTGTGGCCAGAGGGACACTCACCAGAGTAATAAAACTGGATCTGGAAGGCATACAGGAAATCGGAGAATGACATTAGGCAATCCATTGCATCGTCCATCAGTACAATCCTGGCAAGAAAGAAAAGGACCAGACTTAAAACAAACACTTGGGACAACTGAGGAACAAAATGAGGTTCAAACTATTCCACATTGGTATTGTGAAGAAAAACAAACCTTGCTATTATGATTATGTACTGTAATATGAAAATGTAAAAAATATTAAAAAAAACTTAAAAAGCCTCCAGGCAAACAGCAAACTACGGAGAATACATACATTTATGGGAGCTGCTTACCTGCTAAGAGATTTGTATATGTCCATCCAGTCTTGATATTTACATACCCCTCACACATCACAACCAGGTGGATAACACCACTCACAGTTAGGAAAAACATTGATGTCCTCTTTCCACCCGAGCCTTCAGACTACACAAATGAGGGAGAAGGTGCAGACGGATGAGGTCATCCCTCTGCTCTCATCTCCTATGAGCAAGTTCCTTGTGAAAATATTTACAAGCAGCACACCTGACTGGCTGTCTTTCATGCTCCTCCCTCTCTTAATATAAGTGCAGGTGTAAAGGGCTTTCATGAGGCTGATGTCAAGTTAAAATCAGGTACTTAAATGTAAAAAAATTAATTTCATAATGTAATGATAAGTGCATACCTTAAATAATGTGAGATAGTGTGTGTCTTTTATACCTGCCTAAAGCTCAGCTTTAAAGCTGAACTCCAGGCTTGTACAAAAACAGCAGTTCAATAAAGACTGGTATTCATTAAAATACTTTTTTTAAAATATATTATGTTTAGGTACCTAGGTCTCTTGTGCAGCATCACTCTAATTGGGAAATGTATGGGCAGCTATGAGAACCAATCTGGCATGCCACATGTAAACATACCAGTAAGGAGGTTCTGACATTTGGATGGAGAAGAGGCAGGAGCTCATCAGTCTGCTACTGCTCCTTGAATGTCAAATCACAGGCTGGGATATAGAGGTGACTTAGTTATAGAGCAGAATTCCAGGCATGAATATTTTGTACATAGTTACACTGGTCGAGCTTGAAACAATGTAACTGTGTATTTACCATTACTGGCCAATGGCCATGAAGCTGTAGACCCCGCTACTCCAGTGGTCTCCACATGCTTTTGGAGCCTGTGTTGAATGGCTGGCCTGCTGAATTCTGAACACAGGAAGAGTGCCATGCGGGCATGGGTGTCATTCAGAGAATTATTTGAAATCCTTCAGAAAATGCAAATGGCACCTATGCCAAGCTGCCAACTTCCTGTGTTCAGAATGCAGCAGGCTAGCTGCTCAGCACAGGACCTAGAAGTGGGACCACTGGAGTAGTGGAGTCTGCTTTAGTGATTTCCAGGATTATCGGTCAGGTATGGTATATACTGTACATAGTTACATTGATCCAAACTGGACTACTCTAAGGTTACACGTCCATTAGCCTACCCTGACTGAGGCAAAAACGTGTAAATGCGGTACCGTTTTTTGTCGTGTTTTGTGTTTTCCCCCGCAGCCGACAGTCAAACATTCCTATCCTGAATGTGATTCTTCTGCATTCAGGAGAGGGAGGTTTAACGTCGCCTAAACGTGGCAGCTCCTAAACATTGCTAAAGGCCTGTGTGTATGTAGGCTTTTATGAAGTTGAGTTTAGGAGCTTTGGCAAAAAATGCCAAACGCTTTTAACCTCCCTGGTGGTATGATTATTTCAGATTTTTGGTGTTGAAAGCGGTACCATTATTTTGCATGGAAATTTGGCGTTTTATATTGTAGGCTGTAATTCTTAGGAATAACTCACTTAAATCTGTCCAAACCAGAGTCTAGTAAACATCCCGGGTATGATAAAACTTGAAACACAAAATCATAATTTAAAAAATAATCATAAAAAATAATAATAAAATAATAATAAATTTATTTCAATAATATAATCAAACCAAGAATTTGAAATATAGCGCCAAGTTCGCACATCACTGAGCAAAGTCGCAAAATCGTTTTCAGTGTCTGATGACGAATTTCCCCACGAATCATTATCATTCAATTCTGCAAGTGATTCTAATTTACTATCGCTGTTCTCTAGCTGATCTAAAACCACTTTTGACCTAAAGGGACGCTTTTTGGACGCCAAGGACATTTCTCAGTTTCCAGGCAGAAAAAACAGTAAAAATGCAGGCAGGGCACAGGACAAAGCACTCGGGACAAAAGGTATGTGACATGGTTTGATACAGTAATGTTTTACTATGTGATTTTAGTGAATGTCACTTTTTGTCATTTTCAAATTTCCCGCCAGTTCCGTACGTCCCGACGCTCGCAGGGGACGGAACCCAGATGACAGATGCCGGCATCCGCTGGATTACATTGCTGGGGACACTGCAGGAGGGACATCGCGGGAGCGCAGGACAAGGTAAGTGATGGAGGGATCGCGGAGCAGCGCCGCATGGTAAGCCGAGTATAGCTCAGGGTTACCGCTTGTGGTACTGAAACTTTACCCCGAGCTACACTCGGGAATACCGCCAGGGAGGCTACACTCAAGTTTAGGAGTTGCCAGTGTACATGAAGTCTAACTGTAATCGAAAAAGTCAGGTTACCTAGCTGGCTGTGCTATGTGGTAGCGCTGAGCAATTCTCATTGCCGAAAAACAGAAATACAAATGCCTCAGTGGGTAAAACAGCCCACCTACTGTATATGTATTTTATCTGTTCATTTAACCATTTGATTGGAGTTCAGCGTTTTGTAAACTTTATAATAACAACAAAATTAACTCAATGTTCCCTTTAAGCTCACAAAGCCTTTAGCACACAGAGGGGTAACTGAGGTAATCAACATCTATAAAGGCAGGGGATCAGGCAAGTTATGACATAATTTTTTAACAGCAGGGATTTCCCAAACTGTAATGCCCTCCAGATGTGCGACTGTTTAGGGTACATCATTTCGGATCACGGATATCACTGGCAGAGCGTTCCTCAAACACATCTCTACTGCAGGCGTCTCTTTCATGTGTTTTTCCAAAGCCCGGCACAGATCTGTTTGATGTTCTGTACAAAGTGTAAAATATTCTGTTAAACCCCCCCTCATGCTACTTCCCTTCCCACAAAATGTGAAGCCGAAGAGCAGGCACGGTGCACCAGAATAGACTGGGGAGTGTGGGAGAGCAATAAGCAGCAGAATCACAGGGGCACAATGGCCTGTATTGTGCGCCTTTACCTGTCATGTGTTTAATCTGCCAGCTGACTGATGACCTCATGGCACAGGGTCTGTGCACTTGTGCTCCACGAGTAACAATATTGCCTTTTTGGCCTTGTGCTTTAGCCCGGCCGCCTGTTTGGGAAATGTCAGGCTGTAAAACAGCACGTTATTAATTCCCTGGTATTCTGTACTGGATTTTTTTTTCTCGTAACTCCTTTATTTATAAATTTTTGCAAAGCAGCCAAAATACATACAAAATGCAGTACAGAAAAGTTACATAGCAAATGGCAGTATATGGGCAAACATAACCAATAAAAAGTAAAACAGAAGCATGGTAAAAGCTGAGATAGGCATGAACAAAATGAGATCAAGTGTATGGTACTGTGTGGCCCCGACCGGTTGGTATGTCAATGGTCCAAATACAGGTACCAACAACACAGGCCACACTGACAACCGACCATCCAAAGATCACAGATAAGTGGAATAGAGAACCTACCAGGGATCTCAGGCAACCAACTTGGAAAATATTACAACAAGGGATTCCCCGTTGATTGGGAAATCAACAAAGAAAAAAAACTATGGTTACACAGGGGAGGCACAAAGAAAAAGGGAAAGGGGAAAAAACAGGGGACAGAGGGAAGAGGAAAGGAGCAAAAGAGAAAAGGACAGATGTAGTAGGGGAAGGAAACTAGGAAGAAAGGGGTAAAGGAAGAGAAGCATGAACAGGAAAGGACCAATAAAAAAAAAAAAAAAAAAGGCAGAAAAGGTAGAACAGGGGAGCGAATCAATCCTCCCATCCCGGGAACCAGACCAGCAACCAAACCAAGACAAGCCAGACATCCAAGCCCTTCAATCTGGCTCAGAGGGCACCTGAAGATAAGAGTCAGTATAGACAAAATATTGCCATGGTCTCCAAGTGTCTTGAAAAACTTCCTCTCAGTAATACAGAGAGGCTGTTAGGTCCTCCATATGGCGCAGTTCATTAACTTTAGAAAACCAGAGGGACCTTGCAGGTGGATGTATATTTCTCCAACACAGGGGAATACAAGCCTTGGCAGCATTCTGTACTGGATTTAAGCAAAGAGGACTTGTCTAATGTGGCTCCAAAAACAGGTCTTGGTTGCAGTTATTTGCAAATATGTGGAAGTGGCATGCAACATCAAAGCAGCTCTGTTTCATCTTACTCTAATCACTGTGGGCACAAAGGGACATACAGTAAAAGATTACACAGACTTGGTGCTAACCTGGGAATAAATAAAAATTTTCTGTAGTGCACACATATGATAAGTCTGGACAAGTGGAGACTTCCCATGTGCAGGCACGAAATACAACCAGATAAAAATCATAGTTGCTAGATAGTGCACACTGGGAGTGCAACCTAAAGGCTCACCCAATGTAATTCTCCATCACTCAGCCCTACAATGCCACAAATAGGCTGTTAAAGCTGAGTCATATGCATTTTTTTTCCAGTCTCACTGGATATTCTTTTTTCTTTTAAAGTGTTGGCTGCAATACTCACCTCAAATCTGGAACTGCTCTCCACAGTGCTCTTTTCCAGCACAAAAATGTCCTCAATCTTGCTAGCAACCTGCACGCAATTGACCTTAAGGAGGAGGAGGAGACTCTGAAGGGACCTGGGTGACACTCTGGCAGGAGGACACATGGGTAAAGAGGAGATCAGAAACAATTTTTTTTTGGCTTTCCTGTTGCTTACCCAAAGCTGAGGAGGGATTGTTGTCGCTGCCTATATATAATCGATGAGGCCCAAGGATCCTGGTGTTTCAGATAAGCTTGCCGTAAAGGTTTTAAACTTGCAAGTGCATTACTTTGTTCTCTTTGTCCATTAATAATTCATTCCCTGCACTATGCCAGTGTGCTGTGTTTTGTGTGAATTTACATAGAAGGGTCTATCTGTGTTCACTCACCTTGCTGCTTTCTGTGTCAGGTCCATGGGAAAGTCCGGGCACAACATCTGCAGCAGACAGTGATATTCCTTCATGGTGAGGAGATCTGCAAGAGACATACACTTCGTGAGACTTTCAAAGAAGCGCAACTAGTTTCTGAGATTCAAAGAGCAAGGAAAACTATTTTAAAATATCTTAGGTCTTATGTAGACACGTTATAATCTGTTTTTGTGTCATTTTGATTCGCATTTGAGTTTGACCTACTTTTGACTCATTGTCAAAGTGATAGAAATGTTGCTTCTGAGTTGCTCCTGAGCTGCTTCCAGTTTCTTCAAGCTGCTTAACATTCGCAATGATTAGTAAGTGGAAGGGAAGTAATTCAAAAACAGAGAAAAATCTGTCTACACAAGCCCCGTAAGATGTTACTGTTGGTGGAAACAAGCAGTAGATGACTACCTATCTCTGCTCTTGGCTGGTGAATAAAATTGACCTGTTGATGGAATGGCAGCTATCAAACATTATTAAAAGCAGTGGATTATTGGACAGAGATAACAACCATGATGGTTTAGTAGCTTTAGACTCACACTGACACAAAGTTATGTTTTGTTCGGTTCTGGTGATTGGCTGCTTACACCAAGCGTTGTCACTTGGAATTCCCCCAAACCTGGAATCCATTGTCTGTAAGCAAGGGCTACAGCAGTGCAGAAAGGTGGCAAGGGAGCGTAGCTGGGTAAGTATACAGACAGTTTCTCACTGTGTATGGTCACCATAAGGGCTCTTTTGCATCCAGTACTAATGTATCTACTTTGGACCTGTACTCAGAACTCCAAAGAAGTGGTGTGACAAGACTTGAAGACCTCAGTGCAAAAAGACAAACCTGGTAAATGCAAATACACTACAAGACCGAAAGATTATGGACACCTGACAATCACACCTATATGAACTTGTCAGAAATTAATCATATGCATTAATATGGAGTTGGAGCCCCTCCGCCACTTTTCTGGCTATAACAGACTCTTCATTTCTGGGAAGGATTTGAACAAGATTTTGGAGTGTGCCTGTGGCGAATTTTGCCTATTCAGCCAAGAAAAGCATTTTTGAGGTCAGAGACTGATACTGAAGGAAAAGATATAGCTTGAAATTGGTATTCCAATTCATCCCAAAGAGGTTCCATAACATTGAGGTTATGACTTTCTGCAGGCCACTCGGGTTCTTTCACACCAAGCCTCTCCCTCAAACCATGTCTTAATGAAACTGGAATTGAGCCCTTATAATCAATAATTTGGACGGTTGTCCAAGTACTTTGGCCATATAGCGTAACTGTAGTCAGCATAAGTTCACACTCTTGGTAGATGCTCCCTATCAAGGCTAATCTGTACAGGCCCTGACTGGAAAAGTAGTAAAAGAGAAGTTATAAAAGTATTACTAAGCAAAGGCTCTAGATCAGACATGTCCAAAGTCCGGCCCGCGGGCCATTTACGGCCCGGGGGTCGGTTTAATACGGCCCTCCAACAGCCCTCCCTGCTCTGTGTAATGTGGCCCTCCCACGGCCGTCCCTATGGCAGACAGTCTTCTGCTTGAGAGCAGAGGGCAGTGCACATGCCTGACTGCGGCGCGTTCTCCCTGGTCTGTGTAAATGCGGCTGTCGCACGGCCCTCCCTTCTGTGGCAGACAGTCTTCTGCTTGAGAGCAGTGCGCATGCGTGACTGCGCCGCGCTGGGAGCGACAGAGGGCGGTGACGTCAGGGCCGGGCTTCCAGCGTGAAGTGTGTTTCTCTTCCCCTCCCGGCTGCCGAGCAGAGACTTCAGCTCCAGCTACCTTTTTCACCCTTCACATTAGTGCAGGTAAGTTTTTTTTTAATTTATTTTCAATACATTGTGAATACTCAGCTGTCAGTTGATCTTAATGTTATGAAATGAAAAGTATGTCGTTTGCAATTAACTTGGCATAAAATAATGTATTTGCATTTAATTGTAATGGTTCAAAGAATGTTCGGAAAAATGTTCGGCCCTCCACCATGTTCACTTCATACAATCTGGCCCTCTTTGAAAAAAGTTTGGACACCCCTGCTCTAGATGATGGGCCTCTGTCTGCTCCAGTGTTTCTATGTAATGCACTCTGATTCAGATTCAGACTCAAGCTGTAAACATGGCCTGGGTCCTGGGTGGTCAGGATGTCTTAAATGAAGGTAGGGAGAGAGGGGGTGCTGAGAATTGACATGTGTTTTCAGAGTATATAAATATCTGCAAGACAGTTATAATTTTCACAGTGGTTTCTCCACATCCCCCCCCCCCTTATGCCACAAGGCTGTTGGGAACGGCCCATGAAACTCTTGGCAGGAGTTAAAGGCAAGATTCAATGATATTTCAACATAAGGCCGGGAATAACCACCAAGACTGCAGTGTCCTCTGTGATGCAGAATACAATAAAAACCGTAGATTGTACTGGCTTGAGTTCAGGATATGTACAGCAAAAGACAGGCTAGAGTGGAGTCTGAGGTTATACTACTGAAATTATAGTATACAGTCTACATATACTAGCTGAAGATAAACTTGAAGATAGTTTCATAATTAGATTGGAAAAAAACCTATCAAGATGTTGGAGGCTGTTTATGAGGTCAAAGCTCCCTATTATTATTAATAGGTATAGATGATTTTATACCTATAAAAAATAGACCATTTGCCCTTCACCTTCAACATACTTTCTCCACTGTTATTATAGAGGATTTCCATAAAATAATAATAGTACCGTATTTAGTTAATGGGAACCTAAATTGTGTATAAAAGTTAAAACTGTAACCCAAACACTGTACATATCTGTGGCACAAAAGGGTTCCCCTCTATGGATCCAAAATGTTTTCCTGGTATTTCCTTTCTAAAGCCACAACTATGGCACTGTAAATGTGAGCTTCTTTTTAAGAGGTGGTTCAAAGCTTTATTAATTGTTCTATCCACCCAGGTTTATTGCAAGAGAATGCGGATTGCAGTGGATCCCCCTGGACATCCACCAGACTTTAATGTGGTAGTAAACTCTTTATTTTAACTTTTACCCACAAGTGAGCTTAAAATTAAGCTTACCTGTCAGTAAAATGAATATCAGCTAAACGTGCACCACTTAGGAGATATTTGCTCTTTTTAGAGCTGGCGTATACACTCAAAAAGAATGGCACACCCGTGCCGTTCCTTCAGAGCACTGTGCCATGGCCCGGAACTCCCACGTGAATGCGTGAGAGTGACGTCATCATAGCTCGGCCAGTCAGACAGCCAGAGCTCGTGAACCCAGATGGAAGACAACCGAACCGGATATCGTATGTACTCTCCAGGGCCTCAGGATATGCACAGCCAAAAGGGAAGCCAAGGGTACCAGGACAGCGACAACCAAAGGAAATGCTCCAGGGGTGCAGCCCTCCTCAGACGGGGAAATCAGCCACTGGTTAGAGAGAAAAAAAATAGGTGGCGCACACATCTAGTGCATTATCCAAGGTTTATTGTAGGAGTGAAATAATAAAAACATACTCACAGACGAAGCATGTATCTAAAAAGCATAGAAAAATGACAATGGCCACAATGGCAGGCAAGGTGTTCTCACTGTCAGTGCGGTCAAATTGTTGACGCGTTTCGGGGACGAATCCCTTTCCTCAGAGCTGATGACCAACCTCTGATGCTGATGTATGATGAATGGAAAGTAAGAGCCTCACTGTTGATGCCTGAGTGGGATGGTGTGGGAGTGTGCTTTATGCCTGTGGGGAAATGGCTCTTACTTTTTTTTTTTTCTCTCTTTTCTTCTCAGATGGAAGACAAGGTGAAGATGGAAGCCTCTGCAGCGATGACAGCACACCACTGGAAGGCTTTGTTTTACGGTAAGTCCTCCATAGTGTACTAGTATGTGATGCATACTAGCATATTACAACATTACCTTGCAGGGATTTTTTTTTTTTTTTTTTTTTTAACATGAGGTTTATTATCGCTTTAAGGCACTTCACTCTCCTAATCAACATGGACTATTTTTAATATATATGCTGCCAGCATTAGTAAATGGATAGGAAAGTATATCATATTTACTTGCTTTAAACTTCAATTACTTCCTGGTTTTCATGCCTAGGCAAATGATGTCATATATCCCAGGAGTCTTCAGGAGGGGAGGGTTCTCAGCTCAGCCAATGCCTGAGCTAAGTGCAGATGGATCCTAAGAAGTAAACGCTACATGAATTATCTGCAAAATGGCCACTGCCAGCAATGCCAGGGGGTGTTTTACAAAAAGATTTCTAAGCATAATACAGCATGGACACATGGATGGATGGGGGAGTTTGCTTTGAATATTAACAATGAATGAAATAGCATTTTTGGTTTGTGGTACTTAGATGCGATGCAGTGCAGTTCCAATTTAAGCTATTGCCTAGGTTCCCTTGATGATCCAGCTATGGGAAAAGCTGTTGATCGGCCTCCTCTATCAGAGTAGCCAATTAATGACTTCATAATAGGAGCAGATCCTCCAACATGACTCAATTCATAGTCTCATGCGGTTTAGTCAGCAAACCCTTGTGAATGATTTGCTTGTGATATTCATGATTTGCTCATGGCAGAAGCTCATAATAAGCAGCTCCTGCATACTCTTCTGTGAGCAGGACTGTCTAGTAACGGCCTGATCACTGGGATGACAACGGAGGTGGTGCTGTGATAGGGATCAGTCTTGGGTACTCCTTTAGTATTGAGCTCAGGAGGCAGCAAACAATACTTGATGCTATTTTAAAATAGCCTCCAAGTGTATGGAAAAGGCCACTGTGACTCACCTATACCCTGGCAAAGCTGCTTGAACCAGCTGCTGATGGACTCTCAATTAACTCCAAATATAGAGTAAATATTGAGTCCATATATATATATATAGTTTCACATTTCCAAGTCCTGATGTAAGGGGGCAGAGGTGGAGCTCTGCTTTAAATTATTAATGCCCTTTGTTGTCAGTGCTTATTGGCGTAGTAACTCCTGGTAAAAATAGGTAGAGGTAGCCCGACTGCTGCATACCTCACCCAGCCCGAGTGGTAAACAGGTAAAAGCAGCCTCAGCTCGATTCATGTAGACCAGGGGTGTCAAACTGGTATCCCTCCAGCTGTTGCGAAACTACAACTCCCATCTGCCTTTGGGAGTCATGCTTGTAACTGTCAGTCTTGCAATGCCTCATGGGACTGGTAGTTTGGCAACAACTGGAGGGCCGCCA